CCATATGGTTGTCTGATTCAAAATGTTCAATAACAGTCCATTTAAGCTCACTAATGCCTAAGATATCGATGTTTATGCGTTCCATTTCATTTTTGACAACTACCAATTTTCCCAGATTCATACTTCGTACTTATCATAGTAGAATTTTCAGTGGATGTTTACAGCTGTTTCTCTTCAGTTTGAGTTGTTCCCCATCTGCAAATGAATGTCCCACGGGCTTTTCTCCCACGGGTTCTACTCCGTTTGTGTCATCACGGTCAACTCTACTCTGAGGACGCAGCTCTTCCCTAGTCGCATTTTGAGTGCCTTCCAACTTGAGGGGCTCATTTTCTGGCACTATATCTGACAGTGTTTTTCTGCTATTCATAAGGTTTTCAGTGACTAAATATTTGGAAATGGTTCATTACTCCTTCTTCTTAGTCTGTCTTCTTCTGGAAACTCATCTGAAACCTGTATACCATGGGTGACCCACTGGTATTTAAAATACTGGTGGCATAGCTTTCAGAATCACAGCAACCCACAATCCACCACAGTATAACAAACTGACAGACGAGTGGTGGATGATGCGAGGAATAGCTATATAAATATATAGGTTTTTTTTAATTGAATTTTCCGACTTTCTGACTTAACATCTATGTATTTCTTAGTTACACATTATTTCAGTTATGGTACCTTTTTAATGCCTTTTAGTAGTTGAAAGGGCAGGTTGCCTTTCATTCCTCTGCTTTAGAATGATTCAGATACCAAATATCAAATAGCATGTTGACATTCACATTACTACTGTAGAGTGGCTTCCCTCCTTAATTCCCCTGCCTGTTATTGTTGTCGTGTTGGTTCCATTAGACACCTGGAATGAAAACCTCCTAGGCATGTTTGTTTTGATCCTTTCTTCCATTTCCCAGTCCTATTCTAAATCCCACTGATATTTTATTCTTCTCTCTTCCTCCTACTTCTGAGTCCTACCAATATCGTATTCCAGATAATATCACTTCAGACTTAAGTTACTGGAACTTGTTTCTTACTAGCTCTTTCCTATCTAGTTTACTTTGCAGATGACTGTGAGCTTCACTAATATTAACATTTTATGGAAATAGTAATTTATACGGAATGTTATTCATTCTTTATCATTTAATCAATAAATATTTGATTGTTCATTAAATGCCAACCAAACTTATCTTAAGCAATTCTGGTAGCATAGTGGGTTACAAGTTCAGTTGGTAACCAGAAGGTCAGCTGTTCAAATATACCAACTGCTGTGTTAGAGAATGTTGAGGCTTTCTGCTGCTGTAAAGATTGACATACAGCTTCAAAAACCCTATACAGGGTCACTATGAATTTGAACAAACTCGATGGCGCACAACCACGAGCCATAAAAGTATCAATGCTGGGCATGTAAAGGTAAACAAAAGAGCATGTCCTAGTACCTGATCTTTTGGAGTTTTTATTTTAATGATGATGACAGTGAGGAGAGAAAGAAGAAACATGGATGGAAATATAGAATGTAATTTTGGATTGTGATAAATACTATGAATGACATGTTAAGAATTTGGGGTGCATTATGAGTATTGATATAGCTTGGTTGGTCAGGGAGAGTTATTTAAGCTGGAGATTTGAGGGCAACTGGGACTAACCAGGTTGGGAAGGATAGAAGAAAATAGGTAAGAAAATACTGGAAATCACTTTAATGAGTTGGGAGGCTGCTCCTGCCTCCTCCATATTTGTAGCTGGGATCATTTTAACCGTTGTACAGCTATCATGAATCAGAGTAGCATCTCAGTTACCATGGGATGGGAAAGAGAGATTATTTACCGGTACGAGTCTAATTGCTATATACGGTGTGTGTTATTCTTTGCTTAGTTGGCTTTTTCTTGAAGACTAACTGTAAAGGAGCAGAAATTCTGTAGCAAAATGAAACTTGGTGATACAGATGCAAAAATATAAATCCACCATTGGTGTGAATATTTTTCCGTTCATTTTTATGATTTCTTAATTTTTAGTTTCCTACTTGGTATTCAGGACTTCTGGTGTGGTGCTGTAGGATTAACACTGGACTGGGAACCACAGGATCGGCTATTCAAACCTACCAGCCACTCCTTGGAAATCCTATATAGGTCACTATGAGTTGGAACCCACTCAATGGTACTTCACAACAACAACATTCAGTATTCAATGAGCCCTGGTATAGTGCTATAGGATCAGCACCGAACTGTTAGCTGCAAGGCTAGCAGTTCAGACCTACCAGCAACGTCAGAAACCCTGTAAAGGTTGGTTATAAATCTGAACTGACTAGATGGAAAGCATACAGCAACACAACAACGTTCTCTACTCAAAAGAGTGCTGTTGATACAGTGAGTTAAGTATTAGGCTGCAGATCTGCAAGGTCATTGTTCATACCCAGCAGCCCCCCATAAGGAGAAAGATGAGGCCGTCTGTTCCTGTTAAGATTCACAGTCTCAGAAACTGTACGGAGCAGTTCTGCTCTGGCCTATAGGGTTGCTGTGAGTCAGAATGAATTCAGTGGCGATGTTTTTTTTTGTTTTGGGGTGTTTTTTTGGGGGGGTGTATTATCTATGCAAGAGCAGCAAAGAATTTGCATTGACTCATTTATTTCTTCAAATTTTCAAAGGATCTGCTTATTTGGGAGTACTGAACTAATGAGGTCAAGTTTTCATTTTTGATGGCCAGAGATTAAATCACAACCTTAGCCTGCCCTCTTAGGCACTAAGCTCGATTCACAGGCTTAAGGGGCAAGTCTGAGCTATAAGTGCAAGGGTATGGCTAAGTCAGGCTAGTGTCAGAAGATGAAAAAGCATTGCTTTTAAGTGCTGCCCAGTCTTTTTCACTCATAGTAATTGGTGGATTTGAACCACTGACTTCCAGTTAGCAGTCCAGTGTGCCATACCAGGACTCCAGAAAAGTACTAGCTAGAAGCAAAGGCACTTTGACAACACACAGTGGTGTTGTCAGTGTTAGCTGGCATGGTGATAACCCTGACTCATGCCAACACCATACACAGTACATTGAAGTGCTGCTTGTTCCTTTTTATACCCATGTGTATGGTACAGTATTCTGATGTGATCTTATTAGCTAGTTTTCAGAAGCAGATCGCTGAAACCTGTTCAACGTATAGTTACAGGCAAGCCTCCATTGACAGGTAATAGTGATTGCATTGTGGTGCGTTGGTGGGGAATTGAACTTGTGGAAGGCAAAGATTCTACCCCTGAGACACCTTGGATTAGTTGTGTTCTTCAGTGCATTTTTTGTTAGAAATCTTCAGCTTCTCTGTTCAGTTAATGATTTGGGCCTGTGAGAATCTTAGGTTCCATTGGACATTCATGTTTGTTTAGATGCTGTAACTATAATGAGTCCTTATATGCTCCATGTGAAATTATGTTAATAGTTCATAATCTTCATGCCAAAAGAGATTTAACTCATTTTTCATTTTATACTGAAATTTTTTTTTTTTTTTTTTTTGCGGGGGTTATGAATTGTGTCTGTTCATCAGTTTCATTACTTGTTATATGATCATGCATGCATTTGAATAAATCAGATATTGTTAGTATTGCAGATTCTGTTATATATTTTGTAGGCAATAGTGTCTTTCTTTTGTGACTCTGGTGTCCTTTGGGTCAATTTGTCTTGGTACTTAGTTATTAACTGTAGGCATCAGTAATGTATGCTCTCTTAATAAATTAGTTTCTATTCTTTTGGACATTTTGCACTACTGTTCATTCATACCTTCTTGTTGAAAACAGACAAAATTCTGTTGTGCTTTTGAAATGTGCTTAAATTCTTGACTTTGTACTTTCTCAGGTACTTTTTCAAATTCTTAATGGTTTTTAAATTTTCATTTGTAGAAAAAGGTATCTTCATAGAACAATTGATTTTTCCTAAAGCTTAGGATCTAGTAACCTTGTGTGGCATTACGGCAAGAGAATTCCAATGGATGTTGTTGTTGTCAGGTGCCATCGAGTCAGAACCGATTCATAGTGACCCCATGCACAGCAGAACGAAACAATGTCCGATCCTGGGCCAACCTCACTACCGCTGCCACACTTGACACCATCAGTGATGCCGCCTGGCCGATCCATCTCGTTGGGGGTCTTCCTCTTTTTCTCTGACCCTCCACCTTACCCAGCATGACATCCTTCTCCAGTGACTGTTCTCTCCGGACAGTAAGTCCAAAGTAGGAGAGACGAAGCTTAGCCATCTTGGCCTCCAAGGAGTACTCTGGTTGTACTTCTTCCAAAACAGATCTATTGGTTCTTTTGGCAGTCCATGGAACTTCCAGTATTCTCCTCCAACACCACAACTCAAAGGCATCAATACTTCTACGATCTTCTATGATCCAATGGATAGATGATGATAATGTTTGAGGCGTTTCACACAATAATGAGAAATAAACTATATAACCCGATGTTTTGGCTGAATCTGGAGCAAAGTGCTTTTTAATGTAGTCTGTGTTGCTAAAGGCTTGTGATATTTACCAGCTTTGCCTTTATTATTGTTTTTTGGTAGTTTGTCAGCATAATTAGCTTATCAATGTCACAAGGACTAAAGTAAATATTGATTTTTCAATATAGGTGTGTTGAAACAAACGCCATCCTTAAAGTGATAGTCCTCCAATAAACATTCATCTAGAATATATGCCGAGTAAAACACATCGAAAGGTTCAGAAATAAATCAGATGTTGCTCCTGACACCCCAGAATCTTTGAGGCTGTGTGGGAGATTATATATACCATTGTGAAAAGAAACCTTTAGTGTGACTTATAGCCTTTGCCTGAGGTCACTAAGATACTTAACTGAGGGTGCTTTATCATCTAGGTCCTGAAGTTGAAATTCATTTACTGGTTTAAAATTACATGTGGGTGTGTTTCAACAACTAGTAAAAATACTGCTTATATTTTAAAGTTGTCCTTAAATGTTTAGGCTGCTTACATTTTTATATTAATATTTTTCATTTCTTAATAAAAACACCTTTTTTTCGCCCCCCTCTAGTCTATTAGAAAATGGTCAGTTTGAAATTGTGACCGGTGGCTGGGTTATGCCTGATGAAGCGGCTGCACACTATTTTGCCATCATTGACCAACTAATTGAAGGACATCAATGGCTGGAAACAAATCTAGGTACGATGGACTGATAGCTTTTCTTTTTGTTTGGGCCAACTTGGGCAGTTAATTTTGGAAATGGATCTATTTTATTATTATTATTATTATTTTTCAAATAACTGGTGTTCCTAATATTGTTTCTTCATTAATGTATAATTTTTCTTTGATTTATAAGCTCAGTTATATAGTATACTATGATCACTTTTAGAACTATCTACCTGGTGTCATCTAATACTTTATCATTTTAATTAACTTTAGAATAATTTTTTTTTAAGTTCTAATTATTTCCCATTGGGGTTTTAATGATCTTATAAGTTAGAACTCTTGATTATAAAAGGTAGAAAGCTAATTTACTAATTTAGTTTCAGAAAAAAAAAAAAATTCCAGAAACCAATAAAAAAAAAACCCAAAAGAAGGAAAGAGCGATATTAGCCATGTTACTAAGAGGTGCAGGGATTGTAGCTTCAGGTAAGGTTTGACTCAGGATATTCAAATTTACTGTGTGCACCTTGTCTCCTTTTGGCTCTACTTGTATTTGTTTGACTTCAGTCTTCACTGTGGCTCTCCATGAAATGAATAAAATGACCATTGGAAACTGGATACACTTATCTTCACAATCTAGTAAATACCTTACCTGATTGGCTGACTTGATTTAGATGCTTATCTTTTTTTTTTTTTTAATGTTTTTATTGTGAATGATGTGGGTTTACATGGGAGAACATCAGTTTTACATTCATCCTGTAGTATTTCATTGCAATGATTAGAATGCCCTCCATGCATCATCAAACAACCAAAGGCTATAACCCAAAGGTCTGCCCCCTGGCTGTCAGCACATAGCCCCTCTACCTCCCTGACTCCAGTGTCCCCAGCCACTCCATCTGTCCACGTCATCATCTCTGCCTCCATCTCTGGCGTCACTGCTTCTCTGGGTAGTGCCCCACACTCTGCTTGACTTACTTGATGGCCCTAGGGACCTCAGTTCCTAACTGCAAAATCAGTCACTCCCTTCCTTTTGTTACAAAACATCTACCTTTATATTTCCAAACCTCCCAGTCAGCCCTGATAACATTTATTTACTATTGTACTGCACGAGTCTTGTCCCCATCTCCTTGCATTAGCCCCATCCCAACAGGTTGGAAATCATTCAGTGGTGATTCTACCTTCCCCAGCCCTATCTGAAACTAGGCTCCATCTTGAAAGCTTGTAAGCCAGTCTTTGTAGCCTTTGTAGCCCAGCCCCTTTATGGGTAGCCAGATACAACCTTGCTTGCTGAATGTGAAGAGGACTTAAAACATTTATTGATGTAGATCAAAGAGCACAGCCTTCAGTATGGATTACATCTCAATGTAAAGAAAACAATAATCCTCACCACAGGACCAGTAAACAACATTCTTATCAACTGAGAAAAGATTGAAGTTGTCAAGGACTTCGTTCTTCTTGGATCAACTATCAACACTCACGGAAGCAGCAGTCAAGAGATCAAACGATGTATTACATTAGGCAAATCTGCTGCACAAGACCATTTTAAAGTGTTGAAGAGCAAAGATGTCACCTTGAGGACTAAGGTGCACCTGACCCAAGTCATGGTATTTTCAATAACCTCATATGCATGTGAAAGCTGAACAGTGAATAAGGAAGATCATAGAAGAATTGATGCTTTTTGAGTTACGGTGTTGGAGGAGAATATTGAAAGTGCCATGAGCTGCCAAAAGAACCAATAGATCCATTTTGGAAGAAGTACAGCCAGAAGGCCCATCCCTGCCAACCCTGTGTACTGATGGGGTGGAAGTGATCCTAGCTGTAAAGATTTGTTCCCTTTTTTGAGCTACTATATCTATAAATGAGGAGCTCTGGTAGCGTAGTGGTTACGAATCGGGCTGCGAACCTAAAGGTCAGCGGTTCGAAACTACCAGCTGCTCCGCGGGAGAAAGATGAGGCTTTCTACTCCCGTAAGGATTTACACCCTCGGAAACCCTGTACAGGGTCGCTATGGGTCGGAACCGACTCGACGGCACATAACAACAACAACAACAACATCTATAAATATGGAGTCTTTGTGGTGCTGTGGATTAATGCGCCAGACTGCAAAGCCATTTGAACTGCAAGGTTGGCAGTTCAAGCTTACCAGAAGCTCCTCGGAAACCCTATACAGGGGTGCTAAGGGTCAGAACTAACTCAACGGTACTTAACAACAACAACAACATCTATAAGTATAGGTAAAGTTCATCAAATTGTAATGGTCACTCTTTTTTTCCCCTCTTCTTTCTTCTAGTTGAGTTCTGATCATCCAGCCATTGAAGCCAGGTCAAGTGGGTACTGTCAACAAGTATGGGTGTTATTGTGCATCTCCCCTCAGTTCATATCAGCTGTACGGTTCGCTCTCCACGCTTGTCCTCTGTGGCCATGTCACTACCTCTGGCCCCAGGAGTCCCAGGGTCTTGCCATACTACTGACCAAACAGGTCTCAGCCCCAGGTCACAGGGGTCTGTTGAATGTGGTCGGGCTTAATTCGCAACTTCATTGATGTTTTTCCCGCTCTTCGCATTATCGGTGACCAATGTGGTCACCAACCAGACTACATGCCTGCTTGTGCATTCCTCTTGAGTCTTACTCTTGGAAGGGGGTTTGTCCTGAGGGGACCTGAACACTTGCCTTGATGGCTCTTTTAGTTTTCTAGCCTTTCCATGCTGGTCTACTTGTCCTTTCAAGTGGAAATTTCCCACCTCAGATGATTCTGGATGGTGTTCAGGATTCTACCTATGGTTTTAGGCAATGCAAAGGCTCCAAGGAAGCCTCTTTCACTGGGGGTCTGGGAGCCCCCTTTAAGGTATTCCAATCATTTATAGGCTGAAGACAGACTTACAAGTTTTCCATTGTGATGTTTCTGGCTATTTCTTTTTCTGCCTCATAAGTGTCGATTTTACAATGGTTGGCAAGAGAAACCAAGATTCAAAAGATAGCCAAGCATTTTAACATTATTCCCCTCTTTTACCCTTTCAAACCATGCCTCAATTCCTGTATCTCGGAGCCCTGTTGTTCAAAGGTTGTACATACATTGTCATTTACCTCTGTCCCACTTAGCCCATGCAAATCTGCCTAACTGTTCTCCCATCTGCCTTGTTTTTCATTCTCCTGCGCATCCCCCCGCGCCAGCACCTTAGCTATCCTGTGTCTATTCCTTACCCTGTGCTATGTCTTTCCCTCCTTCCTTCCCCTCACCTCATACCATTCAGCTGGTGATCAGCAAATACATATTTTTTTTTGTCCCCTTTTAGGGTGGGTTCTTTTTCTTAATCGTTTACAATAATGGTCCTATGCAGTATTTTTCCTTTTGTGACTGACTAATTTCATTTAAGCTTAATGTTTTCAAGGTTCATACATGTTATGCAGTGGCTTACAGCTTCCTTGTTATTCTTCAAGGTAGCATAGTATTCCATTGTGTGTATGTGCCACAGTTTATCCATTCTTCATTTGATGGTCACTTAGGTTGTCTCCATTTTTTTGCTATTTTAAATAGTGCTGCTATGAACATTGGTGTGCATGTATCTACTCATGTTATGGCTCGTATTTCTTGTGGCTAAATACTAAGTAGAGGAATTGCTGGACCTTAAGGTATTTCTATTTCCAACCTTCTGAGGTAGCGCCATATTGCTTTTCAGAGTGCATAAGCAGTGTGATTTGTGCTAAACACCTGATTTTCTTCTGAAATACTAATATGTATTTGGCAGAGGGTGCTTCGTGGCCAGGCCCAATAAAATCTTTGAGGATGGGCTTTAATGAGCTTCCCTAGTAGACAACATTTCACATGTGTTGTCACATGATAGATACATCATTGTGACTTTGATTGGCATTTAAGACCAGTATTGTTGAGTATCTTTATATGTGCTTATTTGTCATTCATATATCATTGAAGAAATGTTTATTTGAATCCATTGCCTACTTCTTAAATTGAGATATTTGTCTCTCTAATATTGACGCATACAAGTTTTTCATATATTTTGCATACAGGTCCCTTGCCAGCTAATCATTTGCAAAATACATTTGTTCATTCTGTGGACAAACTCCTTTGATATACAAAATGTTTTATTTTGATGAAGTTCAATTTTCTATATTTTCTTTTGCTTCTCATGCTTTTGATGTCATAGCTAAGAGGACCATTGCCTAACCAAGATAATGAAAACTTACTGTTTGTTTTTTTGGTTTTTTTTCTAGGTGCTTTATAGTTTTTTACCTTTTACATTTAGGGCTGTAGTCTATTTTGAATTAATTTTCATGTATGGCATATATTGCACATTTCATCATGTTGCTCATGTCTTTTAATAACGGTGGTGGTGGTGGTTGGTTATGTGCTGTGGAGTCGGAACCGACTCATAACAACCCTATACAGCATTCTGAGGCTGTAAATAATCTTTGCAGGATCAGAAAGCCTCATCTTTCTCCCGCAGAACAGCTGGTAGTTTCAAACTGTTGACCTTGCGGTTTGCAGCCCGGTTCATAACCACACATAACTGTAGCATATGGTAATGGTGATAGAGGACTTTTTTGTCCCAGATAGTAATTGACGTTCCATATTAAACATATATTATTTTGAGGTAGGGATTGTTTATAGTATTAAGAAATTTTATTTTCTTCCTAGTCTTTTCCAGTTAGCAGTATATATTGAATATTACTGGATTTATTTCAGACATCTATTAATATTATAATGTTTTTCTTACTAGTCTTATAGATGTGACAATAATTTGCTCCATTAAAAAGTCATTGAATTCCTGGGATAAATCCCTTTTGGTTTTGTTGCTATTGAATTCTTGTCTTCTCATATTTTTGTTTATGACTTTTATGCCTATTTTCATAAGTGAGATTGTTTTTTTTTTTTCCCATACGCTGCATTTATATGATTTTATTATTTTATTTATGCTTAGTAAAATGAATCGGGTAACAGTCCATCCGTTTGCATTTTATAGCAATTTGTGAACTTTTGAAAGAATTTACTGCTAAAACTCTTTGCCTTTAGGGCCTTT